AAAGGGGATTTTTTTCAAGAACTAGATTGGTTGTTTTTGCTACACTGAGGCAAAAGACACTGAATTGGACACAGAAGGACCAACAGGCAAGAAAATATAAGATCAGCTAGAGTGACTACATTTTATTGCTTGCAACATGCATGAAAATAAGGATGTGAAACATTGAAACAGTCGTGATAATTCAGCAGTTTCAGTGTGGCAGCCTTAAGTAGTGGAAGCTTGTTCATCTGACAACTGCATGTTTCAAATCATGAACTGCATGACTGAGCAACGATGTTTTATGTGACTACAACATCAAAATCAATCTTCTGTAGGAAAATCTACTTGCCAGACACATCACAGCACAGGTGTCACAGCAAATAACAAGTCATGGCATGACAGCTAGCGGTGCAACTGCTTTAGGCTTAATACTTTTTTGAGTCCAGGATAGCTACAGAGAATGCCACCTGTGTATAAGAGTAAAGAAATCTAATTAGCATCTTTAATTGAACTTCAGCAGCGTGATCTAACGTTGAAATGAACCCTGCTCAGAGTGGTGGACCAGAAACCTCAAGAACATCCTTCCAGCCTAAATTGTTCTGTGATCTGTAGCATACAAGAAGATTAAATCTCAACTGCCTTCTCCGGCAGGAGCAGAAGACAGCTTCAGCTTTGTTCATGGAAAAAGGAAAAACTGGGTTCTTACTCTTCCAGTTTTGACACAGGACAGGTTTGGGGAGAGCAACTGGCCAGCAGAGTTCCTTCCTGCAGGAAGGTTTTAAGAAATGTGGAGAATGAAATTCACCAGGTGCCTTCAAATGAAAGTACACCACGGTGGAGATAGGGAAATACTGGTACATCACAGGCCAACAATACGGTGGTTTTCCTGTGAGGAAGGTGAGCAGAGAGGAGCACATTCTTAAAAAAAAAAAAGTTACACTTCCCTGCATGCAAATACTGATCCCTCACAAGCTGTTTTCTCTCAGATCTAATAATCCTCTTTACCTGTTGGAAACTCACTGTAAGTACAAGTGCCAGTGCAAGCTTCTCATGAACAAAGAGATCTATCCTCTGTTCCATGGGGTTTTGTTTTATCTCACTAAAGATATTGTTAAAGCCTCCACAAATATTTTTTATACCCACATAGACTCCTTATTGAATCTGGCTGTCTTCACTTCCTGTTTTAGCACAACTCACTTGGTAAATTGTTGCCTCACCTCACCCCGAAAGTGGTTGCCTTTAAGTGGTTGGTGAACTGATTAATATTTATTTAGTAGGGTTCTTTGAAAATGATACATGACATAAATAACAGCTATAATTATTTATTATGCTTACACAAAAATAATACAGTTTTTGTACGATTAAAAGCCAATTCCCCCATTAATTTTCTTAAGATTTGTTAAACCGAACTAACATAGCCTTCCATTTACAGCTTAGCCCTCTTTTCACAGTTTTTAATAGTCAGTATTTTCCATCTGATTACTTCTAATCACACTGTTATACTGCTTTTACAGCCTTGAGCTTTATTACAAAGCTTCTCTGTTATTCCACATAGGCACAAAACAGTAGCAGGTAGGGAGCACTACACATTTTCCAAAGATCAGCACCATTATTTAATGTTTTTGTAAATATTTACTTTAGACGCAGGCTAAATGTTACTTAAGATTTGCTCTAAACTGCTGTGTTTAAAAGTAAAAAATCATGAGGACATATGGAACTCATCTGAAGGAGAAAAAAAATCTTACGATTTCACAGAAGAATTAATTTCTTTACTGTTACCAAAGAGTTGCCTACATAAAACTTGTGGCATGCTTTTGTATCTGAGGTGGAACATCATGACACATATCATGCGGTTTTGTGGTCTCCTCTTCCTACTGCCTGAAGCTCTGGCTGCAGTTTCCCCAACCTGACTGTCCCACCAAATCCGTACACACCCTCGTCGTGCTCCCACTGGGATTTCTGATCCTGTTCTGCTCTTTTTTTTTTTTTTTTCCCCCTTCTTCTTAGTCATCTTACCCACAAACGGCATAAATCAAGGCGAGGCCGTGTTTTCACAGCTAGATAGTTCTTGCAACATCAGGGCTGAGTTCAGGGAAATGGCTGGAAAACTTGCTATCCACACACACACACACACACACACACACACACACACACACACACACACCTGCCTTTTGGCTCATGGAAGAGAAGCACAGTGCCAAAGATGTTTGTTTATTCTTGCTCTGGGTGCTTTGATATGTACGCTATCGATGAGGGCAATCGCCGCCCTCACAGCACAGCAGCGGCGCTGAGCAGGGCCTCACATCCTCACAGACCTCCCAGGCGTCTTCTCCAGGGCGTGAGATTCTGGGTCACGGCGCTCCTGATGTCCCTACCAGCCTCCTGACGAGGCCCCTCTGCTCCTTCACGGCTTGGGAGGAGATTTGGGAAGGAGCTAGAGAAAGGGTGGACCAAGTCAAAGCCACTAAGCCAGGCAAGTGCAGCCATGTATGTCACTTTGGAAGTGGCACTTGCTGAATGCAATGAGAGTTTGATCCGGGTGGAGCAAATGCAGATCCATGTTAGTGTTGTGTCAGCATCAAGCCTGTAGCTTTGAAATGGCTTGTGGCAGCTTAGGGAAAAGCAAAAGGATTCTGTTGTGACTCTACTTAGCCCTTGTTGTGTGACATCTGCTGGGACATGGACTGCACAAGTGTCTTGCTCCGGACTGTCATTTCAGGTCTGGGCACAGCCAGCTACAGTGACCAGCAGGACCCTGGACGTTTGGGGTGGGTGGGCTGGGAGTGTGTGCTGAGGCACTCTTGGGAGAAAGGTGGGGCTGCTGCAGAGAGAAAGATGCCATGGGCACATGAAGCCAGGCCCTGCCCTCCCCGTCCTTGTGGGATTGTGCCATCACACCAGCAATGCAAGGGAAGTGAGTTGGTGGGGAAGGCAAGTGAGCAACACACACACACAGCTGCTGCCAGTTCATATATCAGCACGGAGCCACAGGTGACTGCAGGCCACCAGCACCCAGCGTGGTCATGACTCCGTCCTTCTCTATTTTTCCCTTATCTGAACCATATCTCTCAGGGTGGAACCAATAAATGAAATATTTATTTGAAATATTAAAGAACTAGAAACACCATGAGGAAAATCCAGTCCCTTACTCCACCTGATTTTTACCTATCTGGGAGATCTGGGAGGAGACAGAAGAGGGTGAGTGGCATCACTTGGAAAGGAGCTGCTGGTTCTGAGCAGCATGCAGGGGATGCACACACAGTGGTGCCGAACTGCCTTTCAGCAGCCTGTGTGGCTGCTTTGGTCCATCAGTCACCACAGCAACCGCTGTCTCTCACAGTCTCCACGGGGGTCTCAGGAAGCCACGTTTACATCCAGGTGGACCTGAGTCTGTCACCGTCCTTGGCAAATTGCTGGCTCCGTGCATCATAATAGTAACGACTGCATTTCACCATGTAAATTTCAGTAGTTTTGGTCATTGTCAATACAGTGAGGAAGTTCCCAGTTTTGGACAGGGTTTGGAGAGGTGATGGGAAAGCCAGGATACAGATCGGCGATGCTGCACACGGCAGGATGCTGCACACAGGAGCTGGGCAGTGTCCCGCAGGGAGAATGGGCTGTGCCCGGCACCATGACTCCCATCCCTGCCCAGAACGGATCTGGAGAGGCAGGAGCTCTTGCGTATGACGGTGACAGGTACTGTCAGCCTGTCCTCTGCTCTGAAACCCTTTAAACACACGGTAAGTGGTGTGAGTTGGAGCTGTTGAACCCAAACGCTTTCCGCAACGACCTCCACAGAGGGCTCCAGACCCCCAAGGACCCTGAAGTGCTCCCGTCACCAAACATCAACTCAGGTCGTGTTGCTGAGGCTTTTCGGTCCAAGTGGAAGCTGGATCGCTAATGGTAAATGTTTGTAAACTACACCAGCTTCCTTCCTTCCATCCTCCTGTGAAGCTCAGGAGACGGGGGTCCCGGTGAGGACAGCTGAGGTACGGGGTACAGTGCTGCCCGCGCCACGCCGGGGCCACGTCCTTGTCCTGCCCTCCCCGCCGGGCTCGGAGGGGCCGGGGCGAGCCGGACATGTCCTGACCGCGCGGTCAGCGCAGCCGGCGAGAGCTGAGCGAGGGCGCCCAAGGGCATCCCCCGGGGAGCCGGCTGCCCTCGGTTCCTCAGTGACAAGCCCTGTCGGACTGACTCTGTCAACTGACTGAGTGTGGGGATGTCGGAACTTCTCGGTTTCGCGCTGTCGGTGTTGAACGAGAGACACGCCGCGCAGGTGCCGCGGGACGGGCGGGCGCCGGGGAAGCGCCGCCGCCCCTCAACCGCAGCCGCCGCTGGGGCGCCATCGCCCCCTGGCGGCGGCCGCTGGCGGCGGGAGGCGCGGGCGGGCCGGGGCGGCTGCGCGGAACTTTCCGCCGGAGCGCGGGTCCGGCCTCCGGAGCGGGGAGCGCGGAGCGCGGCCGGGCTGCGGGGGTCGCCGCCGCCTTCTGCAGGGCGCCGCGGAACCCCCTTCTCCACCGCCGAATTAAAGAAAAAAAAAACAGTCCAAAAATCTTGGTTTTAAACTTTTTTACTTTCTGGCTGCTCTCTCTCCCTTCCCTCCTCTTCCCCCCCCCTCCCCACCCCCCCGCCCCTCTCCTCCCAACCTCCTCCCGAAGCGGCGGGGCGGGAAGGAGCGTCTCCGGTCTGCAACACCAAAGCATGGCGGAGGCTGGCGATGAGAACCGTCCTCCCCAAAGCATCCAGAGCCTCTGACAAGCCCGGAGCCAGAGGGGGTGGGGGTGGGAAAGGGCGGGAGGGGGGAGAGCATGGGAGGGAGGGGGCAGCCAGTCCTTCCCCCTGCACTTGTCAGATGCAGATGGGACTGGCAAAGTTTGTTTGAATAAAAAAAAAAAAAAAAAAAAAGAAAAAAAAAAAAAGGGGAAGAGCAGGAGGAGGGGGAGGAAAAAAAAAAAAAAAGATCCTAGAAATCCAAAAAGGCTCATCTGGGAAGGAGAGAGAGGAGACCGAGAGGAAGCGGGATGCAACTCAACCTGACGCTGATTTGCTTCGTCTTCGGGGGGTTCCTGCCCGACGCCGCGGCCCGGCGGGAGCAGATGGACACGGGGCAGTGCGACCTGCCCCGCTCGGTGAGCCGGGCCGGGCCGGGCCGGGCCGGGGGCGCGCCGGCCCGCGGGGGATGCGCGCGTGTCCGCGGGTGCGCGGGGGCCGCGGGGCGCGGGCGGGACGGGGGCGCGCGGAGGGACGGACCCCCCCGCCCCGCGCACGCGGGCGCGCGTGGCCCCGCAGGTGTGGCGGCGCGGCCCCGCGCGTCCCCGCGGAGGGGCCCGGGGCTACCGCGGGGCCGGAGGGATGCGGGGGAGAGCGGGGGGTCACGGCGGGACCCAGCCCCGCGCGGGCCTCATGGTGCCCGTGGGCTTTGCTTGCTGCGAGCCCGCTTGGGGCTTGTGCGAGGAGAGGGGGAAGCGAGCGGGACCCCCGCTCCTCCTGCCCTGCGGGCAGCCCCGAGGGTGGGTGGCATCACTGCCTCCCTCCTTTGTGCCCCTCCATCACTGACCAGCCCCTCTGTCCTCCCCGCAGCAAGGAGAGCTCAACTCCTTCCTCTGGACCATTCGCCGTGACCCCCCCGCTTATCTCTTCGGCACCATCCACGTGCCCTACACGCGAGTTTGGGACTTCATCCCTGACAACTCCAAGGCCGCTTTCCACGCCAGCTCCAGCGTGTACTTCGAGCTGGACCTCACGGACCCCTACACCATCTCGGGGCTGGCCAGCTGCCAGATGCTGCCCCACGGGGAGAACCTGCAGGACGTGCTGCCCCGGGAGCTGTACCGCCGCCTCAAACGCCACCTGGACTACATCAAGCTGATGCTGCCCCACTGGATGACCCCGGACCAGCGGGGCAAAGGGCTCTATGCCGACTACCTCTTCAACGCCATCGCCGGGAACTGGGAGCGCAAGAGGCCCGTCTGGGTGATGCTCATGGTGAACTCCTTGACGGAGACGGACATCCGCTCCCGAGGAGTGCCGGTGCTCGATCTCTACCTCGCCCAGGAGGCCGAGAGGATGAAGAAGAAGACGGGTGCGGTGGAGCGGGTGGAGGAGCAATGTCACCCGCTGAACGGGCTCAACTTCTCCCAGGTAAGGAGGCTTCTGGGCCTCGTGTCTTATCCCAGGATATGGGGGCTGCTCTCCTTGCACTCCCAGCAATTGATGGGGATGAACCCCAATCCTGCAGCGGGGTGGTCACTCATGAGCCTCAGCAGCTTTTGTGCTAGGCTACCTGTTCTCCATCACACCGGTCCCGTGATGTGCGTGGCGAGTGCTGCACGCGTATCACATTTATAATTTATTTGCGGGGCAAACGTCCGGGGTGTGAATGTGTGTGTCTGCCTGCTTGCCACTAGTGAGGGAAACTTCCATGCTTCCCATCTGGTCCCAGAGCTGGGTAAAAAAGTGATGTTTTTGTTTGTTTGTTTGTTTTGAAGTAAAGCAGCTCTGTGGTACTTGTCAGGAAGAGGATGAAGCATGAACAATGAAAATAGAAATTTCGACATTGTTCAAATTGATTTGAGTGCATGCAAACTGTCAGTCGTCTTTTTAGTGGTCACTCCGGGTCAAAACAAAGTGGCTCATGCTGCCCTTGTACTGGGGATAATTAAGTGTGCAATATGCATGGGTTTATTTCATTTTAGAGCAGGTAAATTTCAGCAAACAGAAAAGGATGTAGGTTAAGAAACAAAAGCTATTGGTGTAACTGGACTCCGGAATTCTTTCAATGGATTTAGCTTTAAACAACCAAATACTAAAGCCATGAGATCTATTTCATTTCAATGGATTAATCAGGAACACAGTAACAGCTATTGACTTTGCTTTGTGGAACTGTTTATGTGAAATGAGATTTACTAGAAGTTGAGGAAATGAATGTGTGTGGAAGAAAACAAATAATCCAGGGGAGATTTAAGATGGTGTCAGTTACTGCTATGATATTTCATTTTTAACCTGCTTTTTGTCATTAGTTCTGGATCGGTCTATTTCCAGCCTTATCTTACTGTCCTACTTTGACCAAAAAAGTTCTTGGTGATGTGGGAATAAGGATTAAAGGACTAATCTTTGGTGTGATTAAAATGTCCTTCAAGTGCCTTCGCCCCCTCCTCCCCTGAAGTCCAGTAGAACTATCTGAAGGGGGGAGAGTCTGGCTTTCACTAACATTTGTTTCATCTGATATTTCAACTAGGAGTCTTAGCTGCATACAGCCTTCAGGGAAGATTTGTTGCATACACTTTTGAATATATTTTCTTGTTTATCAACAAAAATGATTAAAAGAAAGCCCCTCAGGACCTTTGCACTATTTTACACACATCCAAATCAAGGAATTCGTTTTACACTGTTCTGCCTGAAAGATTTAAGTGCCTATATTCTCTGTTAAGCCCCTTCTTTAAGGTGAAGTAAAAATTAATTAACCATTCTAGACATCCTATAGTATTTGGTTGTATTAAGTCAAAAATGGCAGTTAGAATCAAGCATATGAAAGCACCTGGTTAAAAATGTACCACTTGGAAGCCTTTTAAATGTGGATCATACTGTATTTTTTTCTTTTTAGAGAGAATGAGCAACAGAGAAAGGAAAAGGACAGAGTACAAAACTCACTGCTGCTCTTAACCATAATTGTTTCTCTGTCCAACTTTTAAATAGAAACAAAAATTTCCCATTCATTTTACTCCAAAATAATCTAAAAAGGAACAGTAAAGGTATTACTGCTATTGGCAAGCAAAGAACAGTCATTTATGCAAAACATTTGTGCCGATTAAAAGAATACATTCCATTTTAATTGTTAGAGGAAATTGACAAAGTTGCTGAAATAGATCAGTATTCAGGAGGAATTTTCCTAGATTGAAGCTTTTTCTGGGAACAAGGCCACCAGAACAACAGGAGACAAAATTAAACAAAACAAACCAGATATTTATTTTCTTGCTTCCTCCAAATTTCTATGCATCCTGACACCTGGCTAGTTGTTTAACAATAGTAATTTGTAATGTTATCACACTGTCTGGCAGTCCTACTGCTTGGTGTATTACTGTGCTAATTTAGTGGAGTGGATTACTATTGCAAGGTTTCACCTCCCAATTCCAGGTCTTGGAGCCTTCCTTAAGCAACACGTAATTAAAACACACTAAAATGGAAATCAGAAATTGAGCAGCTTTTGTCTCGCAGGGTGTTTGCACAGTTTGATGAGAACATCTGTGATAAATTATAGTTCCAAATCTGCTAAGGGCATCAGTGGTTTTTTACCTGTTTTCAGCATTACTATTACAGGAACACTGCACATTATTTCTGCATTCAGAATTCAGGTTTTAGGACTGTGCCTTGCTGAATCATGTCAATGCTTTTGTTTCCCATGTCCCCAAAGTCCAGTATTTTTGCCCAAAGCAAGTTAAAAAAAAAAGACAAAAAAAGCTTTTTTTTCCCTACTTCTTCTCCTCAAAGGCAGCTTTGTGCTACTGCAAATATTTAATCTGACTACATACACCAAATCTGTTAATCTGATATCGTAAGGAGGAGGAAATCTAGGAGTGGTCCCGGTGTGGTACTTGGTTTTGATCTGCTCTGAAAGAAAGTGGATACACTTGCAGTTTTGACCAGGAACGATCTTTGAAACGTTTCTGTTCGTGGCTTTGAAATGTTGATTGTCTTAGCCGGATAAAAAGATTAAGGTGGCTCATATAATTAGCTGCTTCCTGGAGAGCCAGCTCCTGCAGGTAGGGCAGGGAGCATTGTTTTCTATTGTAAACCCCAAAACTTTGTAGTTTGGTGCTCTGCTCCCCCTGAAACACTTGCACACTGTTTCCTGCTGCTTTTCCACATCACTCCTATCCTCCTGCCTCCCGCTGACCGGCTGCTCTCCTGCTTGGATCCTGGGGGAAGTGTTATCCCTCCTCCTGGGACTCTGGCAGCTGCTGGTCACTCAAAGTCTGGGCCCTGGGTATGCTAGAGCTGGTGTCAAGGTGTCTGAATCCCAGCAGAAGGTTGGGAGCCTGGATGCGGGGCAGTTCATAGCAGGTTTGGGTCAGGTTGAAATTTCACTGCTCCTTGGTATTTGAAGTTTCAGGATTTTCATGGAAGGTGGGACAGAAAGAGCTGAGGCAAGTGAAGAAAAGAAAGCAGACAACTCTGCCTGGCAGCACTGATCTTTATGTGGAGAGTGGCCAGTAAAGGGCAGAATCAAGTTGGCCAGGGCTGAGATCTGGTGAGGGGCAGGTAACATTCCAGGCCTTCTTGTGGAATCCTGGCAGAGGCACTGCAGCCAGTACTGGCTGGGAGGACTCATCCATGTGTCCTCTGAGGGCCAGCTGGGAATAGGGCTAAGCTTTCTCTCTTCTTTGGGACCCTTGTGTGGGTCTATGGTGGGAAGCTTTCCCCAGGCTGTTGTTGGGGTAAGGAGAATTGTGATAGTGGCTCCTGCAGCTGGTTAGGTCTGTTGCCTCCTCCCTGCTGGCCTAGGACTGTCATGGGACCCCCATCAGCCCAGAGTGATTGCAGTGTGTCCCCACTGAAGGTTTGTACAGTCAGCAAGGGGAAGGTCCTCTACCCAAACTGCTGTTTCATGGGAAGATGGGTGGCATCTCTTGCTTGTGTTTGATCCTGTTTCTCAGCAGGATCCCCAGTCCCAGACAGTGTTCATAGCCCTTCCTCCACATTAGAACTAAAATCCCTTTCCTATCCCATCCCAAGCTTGCTCTCCTCAGGGACAGTCTGCATTCAGCTCATTGCAGATGCCCTGAATCTCAAGGTTCATAGGGGAAATTTGGCATCAGGGTCCAGCTTCATGCCAGCCTGTTGGTGGGGAAGCTGTCAGGCTGGTGGGGAGCTGCCAGCACCCTCTTTTTTCCCCTTTAGCTGTTTGGGAAGTTCTGACTCTGGTGTTCTCTGGCTGGTATAATTTCTAACTGCAGGGGGAGATGTTAAATATCAAACCAGTGTTGATTGGATCAGAGACGGCCTCAAAGAAAGGAACCTCAGACTGTGCCAGATTAAACTTCACACTTCACCATTCTCCCCCTTTCATTTCTTTGCCGCCTCGTTCTCTGCACAAATAAACCTCATCTCCCCGCTTTCTACCAATGAGACAGCATTCATGGGGCAGGAATGACTTTGTTAACAAAATCAGTCTTCATTTCCCAGGTCCTGCTGTTCCATCAAACCCTGGGACATGGCAGCTTTGATTACTCTGGTGATAGGATTAGAGGGGGGAACAAGTGCTGGTTAATAAAAGGCCGATGGGTGGTCCATCATGTTTGGTCACTGACAGCTCTGCAGCCTCGAAGCTGGACCTTCAGTGCCAAAACAGTAATATACACAGTAATATATAGTCAGGGCCACGTCCTGGACTCTCTGTTCAATCTGTCCTGTCCCCTTGAAAAACTAAACATTTCTGTGATTACAAAGCTGGGATTCTCCAAGCTGACAGGACCAGTGTAACTGACTTAAAGAGAAATTTACTTGTTTGTCCTAATGAAAGATCCGGGCTCAATGTTTTCTGAACTGAATTAAAAGGCTCAGTTTCAGAGCTAGCTGACTTTTGATAGTCCTTATAGCTTATATGAGAGAGTATTACTGATTTTTTAAAAAATTCTTGAAATGAAAGTGGTTTTTGCCTAGTAGAAATGGCACCTTCTTGCTTTTATAGGATTTCAGGCTTCAAGAAGAAAGCAGGAGTCATCAAAAACAGCGTTACCTCTTTTGATTGCTGAATATTCTTGAAAGAAATGTTGTTAAAGGGTTTGATTTCACATAACTATACATAGTGCACATAGTTTTCAGCTTGCTAGCTTTTGTTAAACTATCACTCCCTTCACCCCGTTATGCCCCAGGGTAAAAAAAATCCCCCAGCAAAATTAACCTCGAGGCAGAAATTCATACAGCACAAATAGAAATCGTTCCATTTAATTCCCTTTAAATACTAGTGGGAGCTGCTTTATGTCTCCACCAGGGGAACTGTTGAGGATGAAACTATGCAAGTATTTAAACTCCAGTAGTGGCAGTAACACCTGGAAGGATCAGCAGCTGACGTTTTATAGCTGTACCCACCTGTAGGTGTTGCTCTGTACAGTCAGTGACTGTGTGCTCCTGCCCCACAGCCCCTTGGAAGGCTCACCAGGCATTTGATGCCTATTAAGAAAACTGCCAGTCACTAATGATAGCTCGAGGGGCAGCTGGCAATTCATCTGTTTTATTTATTGTGTATATAACTGCCAGAAGTGTTTGTACAACAGGTCAGGTATGAGCCCTTCCTTTCCCTCTGATCCTTCACACCTCCCTTGGTAACATCCAAGGCAGGTGTACCTGCCTCCCACGAGCAGGTCTGGAGCATTCTGCTGGTTGATTTGTTTGCTGGTTGATTTGTTATGGGTGCTGCCTGTGACTGGTATTAGGTAGGAGTTACATCTTTGTAGGATAGGCCTTGAAAGGGAAAAA